TCTGACTATAGAGTGGCTGAATTTAGTAGCTTACAATCTGGCTATGGACTGACTGAATTTAGTAGTTTACGATCTGTCTATAAACTGGCTGAAATCAGTAGCTTACGACTTGGTTATAGACTGGCTGAAGTTAGTAGTTTACGATCTATCTATAAACTGGCTGAATTTAGTAGCTTACGACCTGGTTATAGACTGGCTGAATTTAGTAGTTTACGATTTGGCTATAAACTGACTGAATTTAATAGTTTACGATCTGTCTCTAAACTGGCTGAATTCAATAGCTTACGACCTGGTTATAGACTGGCTGAATTTAGTAGTTTACGGTCTGTCTATAAACTGGCTGAATTCAGTAGCTTACAACTTGGTTTTTGACTGGCTGAAGCTAGTAGTTTACGATCTGTCTATAAACTGGCTGAATATACAGTATTACTTTTATAGATTTTTCAAATCACGTTAGATGGTAAAAAATATTTACTGACTGTGAACCTTTCAATGGAAAGTACATTTGGTTGGATGAGTTTTTAATAAAGATAATGTTTTCCATAATGGTTTAATTGTTTCTGTGACAGTAGGTTCAACTGGTTGCAGTTTGAAGAGATCCATACAAATTATTTTAGACAAGCTGTGAACACTAAGTAATTTGATAAATATTTTTATTTTTAATAGAGCACGTGCATAAGCTGAATAAAATATTTAACGAGTAATTCGTTACAGTGGTTTAATTTGGATGCAACATGAACATTAATTTAAACTAGTTAAATATTCAATGTAATACGTATACAGATTAGTTGTTTTACAATATGTATGAAATTACACTTGTTAAATATTCAAGATAATACGTATAGAGACTCCTTAAATCACGTAGTCAACATTAACTAATATAATACGTGTAGACTTCTTAAATGACGTAGTGAATATTAATTTAGATTGATTAAATATTCAACGTAACACGTGGAGAAACTTGTTAAATAGGGTAGTGATCAATAGGCTATACTCATTCATATTAGGCCTAAATCTTACAATAAAAACTGACTTAACTGAATCATGAATACTTGTAGGTATGTTCGAGATTGAGGCCGAGTCAGGACGCTTATTTCTCACTAGGTCTTTAGACAGGGAGAGAGAAACGGAATACTTCCTCAAGATTCGAGCTGAAGACACCGCTCGGAGTCGATCCGCCAGATCAGGTATAGATCAATCAATTATTATCATTATTGATTTAAATTTCTAAACTCTTAAAATTAGAGGTTATCAGTAACGAGATTTAAATAATGAGGATTTTCCGAAAGTGAGTGGAAATGAGTGAAATATGTTTGTTTGTCATTAAGTGCAAAGCGACGACGACGTCAATCGAAGAAAACTTCATTGATAATTGGTAAAATCGTTCTAACCCTGGCGTTTATGTGAGATGTCATTTACAAAACTGAATAATAGGAAAAGGTTTTAGAAAAAAAATCGCGTTAAAGAGTTTTTTTTTTTTTTTGCGTTTCTTTGTTTCATAAGATCTTCAGCAAAGTAATACCACGGAATCTTTTTTCCTAGATACACAAACACAATACTCTGAATCTCTTAACTGAGTACATTAGAAGAACGCTAAGTAGCTCTTAAAAAATTCCCCTTTTCACTGTTTCTAAAGTCTTTGGCAGCCAGAAATAGGTTATTGAGTCTGTAAAAACAAGAAACACAAAAATGCACGTATAAAAAAGAGCTATTGTCCCGGTCTCATTGTACTCGGTTCTTTAAGGACTAAAAAATTACTAAGTACATTTTTTCGGGCGATACACAAGAGGAAGCGTAATGGTGAGGGGTTAAAAGCATTTTTTAGCCAATAAGATGGCAAATATTCTAAAGGTTTGGGTCAATCAATAGAAAACTCAGGGTCGGAAATAAAGACTGCATATGTTTCAAATAACTGACAACGATCGGCAATTCTTGTCATTGATAGGCCTAATAATGCTATTTCAGAATTTCCTAAGCTGTTCTTCAGTATATGAGGGACCTCTTCTGGAAGTATTTACTAATCTGTTGTAAAATGTACAATGTTTATTCCTAACGTTTCGCTTATCAGCTCCGTCAAGGAATTGTCATTCCATACTGTCCCTTGATAAAATTGATACAGCAAAACGTTTGGAATAAAAAATAATTTTTGTCTAGAGATTCGTCATATTCGTTATGATTTTTTATAATGTCTGCTGTTCTCCACTGTTTAAAACGTGCATTGAAAAAAAACATATTTACTAATATAATTTGAAAATGTTATATTGTGATATTGCCCGGGTTGGTCCTTCAATGCCAATTCGCTCCTTCGCACGGATAAAATATTTAAGCTTAAATTTGAAATAAGTCTTCGCAAAATTACATAATGTTTAATTATAAATACCTAATTTTATAAATATGTAGAACCCTGGTGGTAAAAACGTGCAGCATATTTAAACAAATAGTTTTGTGTTTTTATTTTATCGCAAAGCTACACGAGGATCGAAACCCGATTCTTAGCGTTATAGACAAGTAAGTGTTTTGCTGTAGTTCAATTGTAATCGATATAATGGAATTACCTCTGTCACCATTAAGTCAGTCTATGTTACTTTATTGGAATTAAACAGTTTGATTATCTTACAATATTCGTATTTTCCTCAACAGTGGGAATTCGTCAGCTAGAGTCTTATTATTTAGCATACGACGAGACTCTAATCCTGGTGTCAGTTGGAGACGAAAACGACAACGCTCCTGTCTTTCAAAATGGAGTCCATCCAATTGTGGCTGTTGTGCCACTTGAGACGGTGTATGGCTTTGAAATTGCACGAGTGAAGGTAATTATGTATTGAAAGAAAATGCTGACCATTCATCATCTAAAATACCTTAGAGATATAAAAAAAAACAATCCCATCTTTCTATGCTATTTCAGTTTCTTACAATTTTTCTCCGTTCTCCAATTAATAAGTGATTTTTTTTACCTGCAATAAAAACAAGAGCCCACCCTCAAATTGAAATTCTTTTTAGGTCAGAATTAGAGTAAATTCATCTTACAATTTTTAGCCGCGGCATAACGGCTCATAGAACGGCTCTGAGTTTTTTTTTTTTTATTCAAGTACAAACTCTTAGCTCAT